GTCTAGGCTGTACTAGCCTTCTTGATGCTATTAACAGCAAACAATCCTTGGAGGTTAGGGTTGGACAAAGTTAAAATGACTTACATGTAGAGGGTGGTTTGTCAAACACTGTCTAATAACTGGGCCTTAGAAATAACTGCTTTTTTGCTGACATCTGCAAATGGTTAGATGCTTTCACTGATCTGACTCTTGTTAGGGAAAAATAAACGACTAAGTGGCTAGCTAGGTACCTAACAATCTCTGGTAATGACCATCCCTAGTGTTTATGTTTTCAGAACTACGCAATGGGTAGGAAGGGTAGGGCACCTCACCTGAGACCTTAGAGTCTTGCCCGTTTTCATTTTCATTGGGCAGGTCTGTGCCCAGAAAAATAGCAAAAAAGGAAACAGGAGGGACAAAGGAAAAGGAAAGAGAAAGCGGGGAAGGGGAGGCATGAGAGGGAGAATATTGGTGATAGGATAAAAGAAGACAGGCATCGAAAGGTAAAAGCCAGGAAAGAAGAGTAATAAGGGGGCAGGGGATCCGGAGTGGTAAAGAGAAAGAAAAGGTTTATAGGGACAAGCTGGACAAGTTGAATGAAAATAATGGTTACAAGATAACGGAAGGGGAACAATGTGAGTGGCATACACAGAGATAAAAGCACAGGCAAAATAAACAATGGAAACAATAGACACATAGGGAAGGATGAAGGCAGAAAAAGGAGTTGCATAGGGAAAGGGGGCTGGGACATATAAATTCACTGGAATAATAGAAATACAGTGGAAGCGGACACTCTCTTAAGTGAACAGTTCTACTTATGGCCGCCTTTACAAAAATCATGTTTCAACACCAATAAAAACTCTGTATTTTTACATTTCCATATGTGGACAATCTCTGTGCCAGGCAGCTGTGAACACTTTCAGGGTGTGTGAGTTAGATTTTAACTTTGTTTCAGGCTCCCAGAAGCTGACACCTGAAATGGAATCTTATTTGCAACTGAATCTTGCTTTTTAATATATCAACTTTATAACACTGCTCGTCACAATGAATTTATGTCAGCCTTGGTGTTTTTTTTTCTTCGCATACACACTCAGTTACACTTCAAAACACCACTTGAATTTTATGCCTGTGACTGAATTACAACATTGTCAGAACAACGGTATAGCCAAACACACTAACTAACAGATTTTTTGCATTTTTCAATGTTTATTTGTAGTTGGGCAAGCTAAAGTACAGACAACTGTTCTTGTAAGTGGTCAGCTCCAGAAATGGAAACCTTTTTCATATCCTAAGGGCATCCCCATAAAGCTTCCACTGTAGTGATAGTAATGGCAACAAACAAAGAAAAGGAACAAGAGGGGAGAAAGAGAAGTGGCCATTAAGAGAATATTGGTGAATGGAAAAATGAAAACAAAATACAAATTAAAGCAGAGAAGTTGACACATCTCTGCTTGTTGACAGCTCTCACTAACAGGTCCATATTACAGTCAAACCTCTATTAAGCAGTCACCCTTGGGAATAGGCCATTTGCACTAAGAGGCATGTGACATCGTTTTTTGGAAAATGAAAGTTACGTGATTTTGCCTTCAAAAAACAATTAGTGGGTCATATCTTAAACAAAATAATAGTCATTTGGTTTTTCAAACCAGCACCATTTTCTTAAAATTAATAAGTTCGTAAATGGTCACGTGACCAAAATGTGATTTTTAAAATTATGAATCACCTCTCTCTGAACCCAAATTTTGCACTTAAACTTCAAGGAAAATAGTGAAAAGATGATGTGATAACGTTTACAGCACATCTGAGCGTAACTATGAAACGTTGAACAAGATATAAGCAAGAAGTAGTTTTGTCCGCCATGTTGGAGGGCAAAAGAATGCCCTCCAACATGGCGGCCAATACAAATCATACTACTTCGCTGAAAAATCAAAGTGCCATAAAATATCTCCCTTAAATGCGTTTCCTCTCAAATTTCGGTTGTAAGATAATTTTTGCGTGCTCTAACAATTTTTGGCATCAGCAAGATTCCAACTCATTGTTTAAAGGAGTCATTGGTCACGTGACCTCTTAGTGCAAGTGGCCTATTAGCCAGGCCCCGGTTGTTCAAACGTTGGATAGCGCTATCCACCGGATAAATCACTATCCAGCGGATAAGTATTACGGAAATCAATTACGCTACCCTCTGGATAGTGATTTATCCGGTGGACAGCGCTATCCAACGTTTGAACAACCGGAGCCAGGTGACCACTTCATAGAGGTTTACTAATAATACCATAATGTGGCAGAAATTGACCTAAAGGACAAAATTGATTCCTCTTTTTACAACAACAGTGACAGCTCTAAAATGTCCTTGTAAGCTTAAACCGTAACATCTTACCTGTACTTTGATCAAAATTCTCTATGCAGTGCAAGATCAGTGCTTCGGTTTGTACACAGACTTGATCCTTTTTGTTGAAAATAAAGTGCTTTCTTTTCATCACGGTTAAATGATCCACAAGTTACTAAACCACTGAACTGAAAGACCAATCCGCGTTCTTGCAGAATCCTTGCGCATTCCCTGATTCAATTTGAAGTTGAACAAAGGCGCCATCACCGCCATCATCAGCCGCCATCTTAGTTTCCCCTGGTCCCAAGCTCCACTCGGTCGAAACTTGGGGAGATGCCGGGAGAGGGGAAAGGGGAGGGGTGAGGTGAGAAGGTGAGGAGTTGCCAGGCTGCTTTACAGTCGATTTACCGGATTTAAAGATTTTCATTTATTTTTTTCTCATCCCATGTATGGAAAAACATAAAACTGGCATGTTACTACACAGGCATCCCAAGCCTATTCAATTTTGAAAGCAAGAACCAAGGTTACAAAAAGGAAGGACCGTATCCTAATAAAAGATCTAATTAGCTATAAGTTGAACTATTGAACAAAAGAAGCAAGGCTGATTTTACATTCGGAAGTATATACCTTATTATAGGAAATTACCGCTCCATGAAATTAACGCGAATCGTTAAAATTCGCGTTGGTTTAAGTCGCGTTAATTTTGTTGAGTGTTAATTTCAGCGACGTTAATTAGGTGCAACGTTAATTTCCGCGCTCTTAATTTCCAGTATTTTAACCCCAATTTTGGAACCTGTCCAGCCATTCTTGACACCTAAAAAACATTAACTACAAGCTTTCTTTCTTTCCATTTACCCTTTGTTTTTCATCTTTCACAAGAGCTAAGGCGAAGGTTTACATGAATATTTCGAGTTCATCTTCACCGTTGTCGCTGTCAGAGGTGATGTCGATATCTTCTCCTTTGATTTCGCGTAATTAATCGCGTTAATTTCCTTTATTAAGAAATTCTACCTCCTCTTTCGCGTTAATTTTCTTTATTCGAAAGTCGTTTTCCATTAAATTCGCGTTAATTTAAGTCGCGTTAATTTCCAATACCTTAATTTCATGAAGCGTTAATTTCCTATGATAAGGTATTTTTTGTTACCAATATTTCGGAAGGCACGGCCTTCCTTCTTCAGGCCTAGGGTCTTACATACAATGATACGGGTTAAGCTTAGACGCTACAATTTAAAATAAAGGATAGCGTGCAATATGGTACTAAAAAAACACATGAAAATTTAAATAAGGAAACAGTGAACGTTGAAAGTATATGAAAACAAAAACCGTTGAATTCGTGATACGAAAGAAATTTGAAAAGTAAAAATAGTGTAAATACTCAAATGGAAGAAATAAGGAGTTTATCACATTTCATAATTCAAATGATACCTAATGGTTCAAGAGTTTTGCCTGCCTCGCTCGATGAGGTATGCTGCTCTAGCTTTTCGCACAATTTCTCTATTAGATTTAATGAGTTCTAGTGGAATAAGTGTGATTAGAAGAGTGATCATCAGTAAGAAAATGTTCTGAGACTCAACTCAGTGGCGGATCCGGGGGAGGGTCCGGTCCACCTTATTTTCAGACAAAACTGAGGCCCGAAGGGCAAAAAAAAAGTTTTTGGAGACCCCCCCATAATCTAAGGGTCTGGATGACTGGGGCCCCACCCCCTTATCCTCGAGCTCTGGATCTGGCAATGCAACTGGTCTGCGAGTCCGTTGAAACGGTCTTTAGGTCGTCGTCGTTTAATTCAAGTCAAGTCAAGTCAAGTCAATTTTTATTTAAACTCACACAGAATATTAATGAATACAAATCAGCGCTTACAGATATAAAAACAAAAGATTGTGAAGAAGGAAAATAAATTTTTCAATTTTTGGTTCATTGTGCATAGCTTACGTGTCCCCAACCCCCTTCCCTTTTTCACTTCCTCCCCATCGCCCTTTCGACGCCTGCTACGCAGACCAGTTGTGCAGAGTTTAGGACACTGAAATAGTTCCTAGAACTAACCGAGTAGGTGACCCAAAACAAGACTACGAGTGGAAGGAATGTAGTGACAAAATAGCAGGAATGTAGTGACAAAGCTTTGTACAAAAGACTTTTAAAGGCTACCCCCACCACACCGCTAGCGTTGGTCCTAGACTACGAGTAGTCCCCATTTTTCCTCGGGAATAGTAGGGCGAGCGAAACGCGAGCGAGAAGGAACACTCCACGCGAGAAAGGCGAGACGCGAACTCCGCCACATCTCGCCTTTCTCGCTTGGGGGGATTTTCCTTCGCGCTCGCCTTTGGTCCGCTTTAGTATCCCTGAGGAAAAATGGGGACCACTCGTAGTCTAAGTTGGTCCCTGCTCACGTTTCGCGTTTCGCGTTTCAAGTTTCGCATAATAGACATCGGACGAGTCAGATCAAATAAACAAAAACATGCGTTTGTACTTCTTTTAGTAGCTGATTCTCTAAAAAACGAACATCCTTCTGAGATGGACACATACTGTCTTTTGTTTTAACAGATTTCCTTGTTTTCATAAATGTGCAGACGGCTCCACCATTATTGCACCTGTGTGGAGGGATACGGACTGTTCGAGCGAATTAGTGATGCAGTTATTAGAACGGCCAAAAAACAACTGTATGACTTGTAATCCTAGTAATTGTAAAGAACTTGCCTTTATGAAAAAAGGCAATGCACATATCTTTGATAGAGTAGCTGGAATACCTCAGTTTAAGGATCTTGTTTTGCTGGATGTTACTTTTCAGTCCGATACCAGATTTAATATTCATGTAAAAATAAACTCACAAAAGCAAACAAGTCTCTCCACGTGCTCAGGGCGCTTAGAAGAGAGGGGTGCAATCAGAAAGAAAATGTCTACCTATTCAATTCTATTGTGCTACCTAACATGTCATATGGGCTTGCGGTGTATGGAGCGGCTGAAGCTGAACTAACAACGATCCAGCGATTTTTGGATAGATATAAGAAGCCTTGGCACATCTCGCATAGCATTGATATCCACGATCTTTTGGAAAAAAAAAAGATAAAGAAAATACGCACTAAAGTCGTGGGTTTAGAGGACCATACGCTTTATGACATGTTGCCAGAGGTTAAGAACACTAGCCTGTTCCACCTTAGACGAAAATCAACAGTGAAACTTTAAGTAAACACGAAGCGTTGTATGTGATCTTTTGTAAACCGCCTTACATTTAAATACGAGTTAGTTCCTTAATTTTATTAGATCTTAATTGCCAGTTCATGTACCTAAGCTTGCTTTTTACATTAACCATGAGTAACAATTTTGTAACACTGGGATATGTATGTTTATCTTATCATGAATAAAGACCTATTATTATTATTTCCTGTTAAAGGAGTTTCTTTTAGTGTGGGTTATATATTTTCATTTTTTAAATTCTTTGCGGTCGCTGTTTCTTTGGCCTTCGCAAGAAACTCGTTTCGAGGGTGGGACATTTTCGCTTTTTTGTCTCTTTTCACAAAAGGGTGAAACAATATTCGTTACATAAGCCATATGCTTCTTCTAACATCTAACATTCAACCGCTTCTTCGCTTCCTTTTGTGTGTAATGCGTTCAGTATGCTCCTGCATTATGCTGTAAGTCTTGGATGTTTTTGTTCTTCTTCACTTACCCTTCTCCGGTATGCTTTTGATTTATTTATTTCATTTTTACTTATTTTATATATTTGCTATTTATTATTTCCTATTTTGGCATGCTTGCATGCTTTGTTTGTGAGTCAAGCTACTTTAATTCTCAGTTAATGGCTTGTAATGGTTTTTGAGTGAAGCCAGTGGAGCCCATAAATCCTTTGTTATATGTTTTTAAGGACTTTGAAGGTGCACAACATTCAATAGCGTTCCTATGATTTTGTTCTCACCGTCCAATATAAAAGTGCCATTCATTGATTTATTCTGACACAATTTGTAAACAAAAAACAAAGAATCATGCACCGTCATGAAGCTGGTAACTTAAAAAGCAGCCTGACTATTGTTTTGATCCTTGATGTTTGCTAACAGTTCATAACCTCCTTTATACTATAATTTTAATATATTATATAATATTTTTAATATATTATATTTAAAAGTACAAGCGACTGACCGAAAACCTCCTGCATCATTAGAGGCTCTAGGCGTTAATTTTTATGTTTTTCTTCACCTTGAAAATTATCAAAAAACAGAAACATGTTAAGTTAAAATGTTTATACATCATAACTAAAAAAGATAAGAGATAAGAAAATAAAGTTCTTTTTGTTGAGACCTTTTGCAACCCTATAATGTAGCGGAACGACGCGCGTTGTTGTTTTCTGGTGCTAAGTTTCTGATCTTTCGTTACCCCCTGATTCCCTGAGTCTCTGATTAGACTTCCTCAGGCTGAATTTTTTGGATGACCCAGAGTTTCTTGGCAACGAAAGAGTTTCATAAAATCGGATTTACGTATGAACTACTCTCTCTCGCACGTAAATTACTGAGTGTTGTATCAACCATGAAATTTAGTAAACAAGTCCAACATGTTACTTGATTTCATTAGGAAAGAATATTCTTTTCCTCTCAAAGATATCCCTTATTGCGAAAGTCACTAAACAATAGTTTTCCTCCCCTAGCTTTGATAAATATTTGTGCATTTAAAATGCGGATAAGATCACGCACTTGTGACGTAAGATAATGTTCATTAAAGTCACGTGGTTTTGCCAGCCCAATAAATACTCGTAGCAGGTTGCATTTTGTAGTATTTATATTTGAGTTTTTCGACTTGGACGTTCGTGACAATGATTAAGAACGAAAAAAATTGTGGTGATCGAGTAGACTCGTATGTTTTGCAGTATAGATTGGACAGGGCTGAAGTGGTGGGTATGCTTTAAACAGTTACAAGACATTACTGTAGCCTGAATTTTCCCGCGATATTGCCGAAGCATGGCTTTGTTTACCATTTTTGCCTTGCGGTCGGTTGTGTTGTTTCAGTTTTTATGAACTTCATTTTCAGTGAACTAGTCAGTGTAAGCCGTTAACTTGTATCTATTCAATGAGTTCGGAGTTACAAACCATTTCCCTCTGTGATTGCTCTTTGTGTTTCATTTGTAAGTTTCAAGCGGCCCGCCAGCAGAGCGAAAGTAATACGGAATGTACTTTGACCGACGTTTTTATTGCCTAAAATTGGCAGCGAAATTCGTTTCAATTGTGTTGAAATTGACGAAATTTTTTTTTTGGGCTAGTTTGTAAGTTTCAGCTCTAGTATCAATGAGAAAAGGTTAAAGGGACGTCTTAAAACACGAGGGAAATGCTATTGTAGCTACGAGCTCCCCGACCTACACGTGTGGTTGTTAATTTCGTTAGTTAACTTGTACAGGTTATTTAAAACTAAGTTGCTTTTAACAGTGTTTATTACACTTAACGTTTAGATTGGAAAGGATGTAGAAGTTGGGAATCTTCGTGAGATCGCTGTTGTTTGTTTTCACCTATCATTCGCCAGATTCGCGGTTGTTTCTGTGTTACTGTTTAATTAAATTTGCGGTTAGGCTTGTACGACAAATGTGAGTGTTTTTTTCATCGTATTTCGACTGATGACGTTCGATTCGGCGAACAGTTTCTCACCAAATTCAATAACTAGATTTTAAAGACACGCTGTAACATTTGTGTGACGCAAGATCTTTTTTATATCTTATTGCGTGGGCGAAGTGTGGGATGGGCAGGGGTGGACAAAGGGTTTGCAAGGGCATTGAAGGGCAACTTCATTGTTTCGCACTTCCTGTTTTGAAAGTCCTACACGGAAATTTTTTCACACAGAATGATAACGTTGACCTCTTGATATCCAAGTTACTCGAATGTTTTGTTGTTTTTCTTTTCCAACTGTTGGCTTGCTTTTACATTTTTACATAATATGCACATATTCATGTCGTTCACAAAGTTTTTGATGTAACAATATTTCTTAAGTTATTTCCTTTTCTTTTTTTGTCTTAAGTATGTAAAATAATATTGTCGTTCAGTTTTATCCGTGGTTGAAATTTCTTATCTTCCTTTGTTTTTTTTTTAACCAAAGAAAAAAATTTAACATATTCATGTCTGTTTTAATAAGTCAGTATGTCATGCTGTTATAATGTTGTTTTTAAGTCTTACATTATGCTTAAATGATTAAGAATTAAGTGTAAATCAATCTCTCATATGCATCCATCACAACTTGAAGAGAGCAACGTAAATTGCTATCAGGCTTATTTTGTTAAATCATAAGGAATAAATTTAAATAAATTTGTAAAAGTAAAGCAGAAGTTAGAGTTGAGCTGAAGTTAATGTAAATGTGTCTTTCTTTCATTGAAGATCAAAAGTGTTGGTCCGAAACTTGTACCATTCCTGAAGACAGTGTGTGTATACTTTGTGGCCTGGGTCCCCGAATCTGAAAAACCAACAGTCTTCGCTGCGCTGCTCAAAATCTTACCAATCCTATGTCTGTGTGGTTTTGTCAGCCTTCAGGGAATAAGCCTGGAAAAGCAGCATGACTACAGCCGACGAATACTTCTGGGACTTATTTTTTCAGGGATCGGCGATATCTTCCTTGTGTGGAAAAACACATATTTTATCCATGGGATGATAGCATTTGGCATTGCACATATTTTGTACATAAGAGCATTTGGGTTCCAGCCTTTCCAGCTCCGTAAATTGCCTGGGCTACTGTTGTGTTTGTTTCCGGGCCTCTTCATGTACTATGTATGCTACCCTGGCCTAAAAGGAAAACTTGTGATTGCTGTATTGATCTATGGTGTTGTTATTACTGGAATGCTATGGCGGGCAATCACCTCTGTGCAAAATCAGATCGAGGAAAATGGCTTATGTCGCTGGACCAAGATGAGTGCTTGCTTTGGTGCTACAATGTTCTATATTTCAGATAACCTCATTGCTTTGAACAAATTCTGTTTCCCCATACCATACGCGAGAGCTCTGATCATGAGTACATACTATGCTGGACAGATGGGTATTGCGGTTTCAGCTTTTAACATTGAAGAGGAATACAATCTCAGAATGAAAAGCTGTAAAAAGCATGATTAATTACCAAACAACAGAATTTAAACTATGTATCCCATATCACGGAACCTTGTCAATTGTTGAAATGGTTCGATTTGCTTATGTTTAGTTCTAGGTAGTATCTATCAAATATTTCTTACAGTAAAATTTTGATCAGTCCCCTTCTTTATTTATAAAACAATGGGCATATATTGTGGACTGTGATTGGTCAAAAGCCTACTTTTATTATTAATGCACATTTTATGAGTAAACTCATAAAGTAACAAACCTTCCTATAAAAACAGTATAAAGGATAATAATATTCAAACTTTTGTTCATTAAAGTTTGTATTAAAGTTTATTGTAACCCACTTGACAATGGTGATGTTGGTTTTTCCTTTGTTCCACAAGGCTTTGTGGTTTTATTATATGCCAGGAAATCAATAGAAACTTTGGACCTTTGTTCAAACGACGAGTCCATTCTCCATTCCACAAAATAAGACAAAAATAATTATTACATAATAATATTCACCGCTGTCGACGTTGGTTACATACCATAAACTTCCGAAAATAAGCCCCAAGGCTTATAGTTTTCAAAGGCCCTTTTTGAGGGGCTTATTTTTGGAAGGGCTTATCTACAGAGGGAAATTTGCGTTTCAAAATCAATTGGGCTAGCCTTATAGTAAAACTGTTGGAAGTAAATTTACCGTTTTGCTTCGTTTTACTTTGTATTTGAGGGCAATTTTCCAAGTGCAAGCCCTTGGGGGGCTCGGGGGCTTATATTTGGAAGGTTGATTTAACAAAGGGTCTTTTGCGTTACCGGTTTAGGGGGCTTATACATGGAGGGGCTTATTTTCGGAATTTTTTGTGGTATTTAGTTATGTAATATACAACATGGTGTATATACAGATGTATCATAGGGCGACAAGAGTGCACATTGAGCATTTATCTTCAGTGTCAAGTGTGTGTGTTTTTGCTGCTCAGAGCTTTGTTGTTTTTTGTTGAGAACATTAGTGGATCTCTGCAATAGATACATAATAGTTTCTAGTACAAAGAGCTAATGGCCAATTTTTTAAACTATTTTTTGGGAGTGTCAACAGGGTTGGTTTATGTAATCTATCAACAAGAATAAAATAGTCTCTACTCAGAGTATTGTATAATTTTAAATTTGGTTGGGTTATTTTATTAGTCTTTTTACAAATTTCTGAGAAGGTACTTTTTCAAGATCATGCAGTATGCAAAATTTTTCTGGAATATAGTTATTTTTCCTGGTTTTGTTATTTTGAGATTATTCCAGTTTCCTAATTAATAATTAAAAACAAGTATGAAAGTGTATCCTATTGTAATTTGCTCTATTTCTAGACTACTGATGTTTTACATGTATGTTATATTTATCTCGATGACATTCTGTTCATTTATTTACTTATTTGAAATAAAATTGGTTTAAATGAAAAATATAATGTTGAATTTTTTGTTTTATATGCATTGCAGCATGGTTCTTAACACTCTTCTCAATTTCACTCAACCTATCCTGTCCAGGAAACTGCTTCTCAATACTTTACAGTCAATATCTATAGGAATAATAGCATGGGATCTAGCTAACAAATTCATCATATCATCGGCAAATGTCAAAGCCAAACTTTTCTAGCATCACTTTCCCAAAAGAGATGTTGGACACAAAGCGAAATATACTTACATTGCTCACTAGTGAATGGAAAAACTTAAAAGCAGAAAAAGTAACAAGAAGTAAGGTTTGATAGAAAAATTAGCCTTGAATTGATGTGAATATAGCTAACAAACTAATGCTCGAAACATGATTCAAAGGGCATAAAAAATACAGTCTACCCCTTATAAGTGAACACCCAAAATGCAAAGTGTGTGGCAATGATTAGTCAGACCACTGATCAAGGGAGGGTTTAGGGGTAACCTGAGGGGACTGCGGCGGCCCCTTTTTCTTTGAAATTTTGTATTATTTTCACAGAGTTCTCAGAAAAATAAAAATTATTTATATAGCTAGCAAGTGGGCAAGTGGGCAGGTGTCCAGGCCACCCCTTTCTGAACATTCTGGACCTGCCCCTGCAGATCTAGATGGTCTCTGATGGGACTACTATAGCTGATCCCATGTCTACATCTTTGATGCAAGTCAGTGCGTACCATATCTGAGTTACAACGTCAGGGAGAACCATGTTACTAAAAATCCCTGATGAACATTGGATATGGCTATAAGGAATTCAGCGCCAGAAGAGTTCACTTGCATTTGACAAAGTAAGTGGGTTGGAATAATTGTGATAGAGATTTCACTTTTTAAGGGGCGTTTTTTTCGTGGTCGTTGCTGTCATGGTATCTTAAAATCCATGCTGGGCCATCATGATGGTCATCATCAAGGTTACTATGGTTTTGTTATTACTGTTGTGGTTATCCTGGTCATCATTGTAATTTTTGTGGTTTCCATTGTCTTTGTGGTTGCTACTACAGTCGCAGTGGTCAGTGTGGTCACAGATGTGATTGTTGTGGTCATTGTGGTCATCTTTTTGTGTTAATCATAATAGGTAATATCAATGAGGACACCATTGCAATGTGGTTGTTGCCAATAAGATGATTATTGTTGCTGTCATGGTATGGATGATGTGTTTGCCAGCGACTGTTCTGATTATTCTGGTTACTGTTGAGGTCATCGTAGTTGCCATCATGTTCCTTGTGGTAACTGTCACAGCTCTGTTGGCTATCCTAGTCGTTACAGCCACTGCTGAGGTCATTGTACTCATCCTGGTTATCGAGGTCATTGCAATTGCCATGTTGGTGATCACTTTCATGACCTGTGTTGCCATTGAACAGTCATCAAGGTTGTGGTGGTGGTCATCATGGTTGTCATGGTCACTGAATTTAAGGTTGTTCTCATTGTGGTCAGCCTGGTCCTTGTGGTACCTGTTGTGGTCGATGTGGTTGCTGTTATGGTCATTGTAGTTGTTTTTGTGGTCATTATGGCTGCCATCATGGTTGTCGTGGACATGGTGGTCACCATTAAGAACATCATGGTTGTTGTGATCGCTCTTGTGGTCCTTGTTGTGACTTGCATTTTCACTGTTGTGGTCATTAAGCCATACAGTAATAACTTTGGTGTTTTGGTATGGCAGTGGCTTAGGAGAAATGTTCACACATGAATGTTTGACAGTAGCATCCATGAAGGACAAAAAAGATCATGGTAAATGCTGCTGAAAAACAACAGTGGCCGCATTGGGATCAATAATTTCTGACAAAAAAGCAAACAACTGATTTTGACAGAGTGTTTATTAAAAACTGCTGCTGTGAAATATATTTACAGGGGTTCAGAGATAGATTTAACAAAGTCTGTAGAAGTCTTCCATTTGCCAGGAAGGAAGCATATACTATGCATCATCAGCGTTGTATAACATTTTCCACATACCAATTCTCTATACAAATCTCCATACATTTCCTTGAAGGAATATATAAGTTGAGAAAATTTGTTTAAAGATAAATGCATTTGCCGTTAGGAGATCAACTTGATTATAAAACTAATACTGAAGTAATGAGTGCATGAAAATCATATAACTATGAGAACTGCGGGGTGAAGATTTATACAAAAGAAGATCGGCGCAGTTATCGACGCCACTTTTGCAGTTGCGAAAAGAAAGCCTGAAAAAAAAATTCAGGCTTTCTTTTCGCTTCTGCAAAAGTTGCGTGTATAACTGCGATGATCTTCTTTCGTATAAAAAACTGATTCTGTTAAGAGGAAAACTGACGTTGGTCACTCTTGGAACAAAAAGGATTAAAGGTTTAGTGCCTCAGTATCATTCAAACTCCAAGATCGGAAAGGAAATTGCTAGTTATTCTCAAAGGAAATGCCGATCATTAAATTGGGTTTGTCAAAATTGTTCCCATTCAAATGTTCATCAAAAAAGGTCTTGCCTAGAGACTGCAGATGGGGGCTGATGTGAAAAAGACTAAGTCAGAGGAACACTGGGGGCCAAATATTTAAACGAAGCCTAACTTAAGCCGCGGTTTCATGAATCGTTGAACCTCCACGCTCCGGTTGTTCAAACGTTGGATGGCGCTATCCACCGGAGAAATCACTATCGAGAGGATAAGTATTAGGGAAACCAATTGCATTATCCACTGGATAGAGATTTATCCACTGGATAGCGCTATCCATCTTTTGAACAACTGGGCCCTGATTTCTTCTTTCGTGCGTTGTTTTAAGAAGATAAATGCTCCTCTAATCTTCTCTATATGCTTTCATAAAACTGTTCACAATAAATTATGTTTAGATAAAATCGTTGGGCACATTGGAAATGACTTAGAACGCGGTTTTGTTAAACACTGGCTAAACTACGTTTAAATATTTTGCCCTAAGTGACTACAAATACCGACTAGATACCTCTTTGTATTCTAGTAACCGTACGGAGTTATTATGACACCTCAGATCTTAAAACAGAGATCAATATCGCTAATTGCAATCCTGGGTAAGTATGGCACCACTTCGAAGTCTAAAGCGTAAAGGACCAATATTTTTTATTACACCTTGGTGGCGTCTTTGCAATTGTAAAGGTCAATTCTTGATTTTTTGTCCTTAATGTTGTTTTTTTAGAGAGTGACACTGGCCTTCTTCATAAAGCTCTTCCTTGAGCACGCACTAAGTCTTGGAAATTACTTGTTAGTCCTCATCTTCAGACTCGGATCTGCGGGAAGACACGACAAAGTTAAAGCACGCATCCATGGTTAACGGTCGTTTCAATGCAAAGTCACTTCGAAACAAGTCGTTTCGATAGAAGTTCATTCAGTCGAGGAGTAAACAGTTTCACGTACTTTGCTTAAAGTACGACGAATATTCACCCCAACAGTTTTTATGTCCGTGCAAACTATACTTGAAGTGATCGAAATTTTTGAGTAATTTCAGTGCTTGAGGTCGTATCGAAACTACTTGTATCGAAACGACCGGTTTCCGCATCAATCAGTGAATCAAGTAATCCCCCAGGGATTGCGCCAAAACATGAGGTGTTATCTGGCGTCATTCAGAGTAACAGAAAAATGTTCCTATCCACTTTCCTTCGGACAAGCACTGTATTAAATATGGTTGTCCGAAACCCAAGAGTTCTTGTCAAAAAAGTTTAGCTCGAAACTCGAAACCCAAAAACAATCGGGCATTTAATGTTTTTTAAATCACATTATTACCCTTGTAAATTGTTTTTGAATTAAACCTAAAACGGGACTCGTAAAAGCAAATGAAATGATCGTGGAATGAAGAAGTTAAAAGGAATATTTAACCCTATTTTGTCAAGTAGGAGGTTTGCTTTTATGACTTTTAAGATGAATTTTTAATTCTACTGTAATTTGAAGACAATTTTCAACTGTTTCTTTATTTTTTCTAATTAAAAATGTGCTTGTCCCACGGACAAGTCATGTCAAAGGTTTACATGTCCGAACTAAATTTCTACCTGTCCTGGACAATCGGACATAGGTTTGGGCGCACCCTGAGTCATTCCGAAAAACGTGCTGTCGAACGCCTCCTTAAAAGGAGAAAAAAAAATTGTACTCACGAGCTAATAAGTTTTTTGCTCTTCTTTTTAGGTGTCTCTTGACTTGTGGACGGCTGCTGATCATCATCATTATCATCTTGTGGTTTTTCTTCCTCCTCATCATTGATGTTTTCATCATCATCATCGTCGTCGTCACTCGACAGTAATCGTTTCCTTCCACTTTGCGGTTTTTCTTCTGCTTCTTCGCTACTGTCTCCCTTCTGTTCTTTTTCAATTTCCTCTTCATTGTCGCTTTTTCCTGCATCAGATTTGCCACTCATGTCTTCGTCATCACTTCCTCTATGAAAGGTAAGAAAAACCGCGCTTGTTTGCCGTATACTCACTTTTTAAAAAAACCGTGTTTTGGACCTGATGTCACAAATCTGTAGATCCCAGTCTGGCTGACCATACAGCAAATAACACCCCTCCAATTAAAGAGAACGTTTATTTCTCTATTTCTGTCATCCATAACTGTAACTATTATTCTTTTTGTTTCACGGGGAATCAAATTTCATCTGTGGAGGCCTGTGTGGCCGAGCGGTTCCGGATCTGGAGGTCGGAGGTTCAAGCCTCGCCCATCACGTTAGTTCCGTAGACAGGGAACCTTAGTCCATTTTGTCTCTCTTCACCCAGGTGTATAAAAGATAACCAGCAACATACGCCTGGGGGTAACCCTGCGATGGACTAGAAACCTGTCCAGGGGGTGAGGGATGGGTACCAATACTCCTAGACATGAACCGGTATTAGCTCCGGCCTTTTGGGCCTTTTGCTCGTGTGCGCCTTTACCTTTTTAAAGTTTTATCTGTTTCACTGTGGAAAGGTTACCGTTAATACATGCTCGAGTGTATTTAAGCAAAACACTTTCTTGTGAAATATTCCGTTTACTCGTACTGTAAGTACTTACACGTCAGCGATCTTGAGTTTCTCGGCCTCTGAATCTGACGAGTCCTCTGAAGAAGAAACGAACGCTTTGGATTTTACTTTAAGTCGCTGTTTTGCTCCCAGCTTCTCCTCGGCAGGTTTCTTCTCTTTTGGTTCAGTTTTCTGCTTACGGCTTCTGTAACAAAGATATGATACATCATGAATTGTTACCAGTTAGTGTGGCTTGGTGATAGTAGAAATTTTGAACAAACCCTCGACATTAGAAATGTTAGGAGTCTACATAGAACAACGTGGAGAATACCAGTATTTCATAAGTAGGTTGAGTATGATCGCCCGGGTGAACGTAGTCCTGAATAGGACTGTTGTTGTTGTTGACAGTGACTGACTTTTGGGAGTCAAAGTTGCTACGATTTAAAAATTAAACGGTCACTTTGTTTAAAGGGCCTATGTCACGTTATTTGCTTTCTTTTTCAAAAGATAAAACGTTTTTCGTATCAATTGAATTTCACAAAAAATGACCCAGTTTCGTTTTTTAAGACTATATTTTGCCACTAAACTGTCTTCTGTCATCTGTTGGTACGAATCGCAAAGATGGACATGGATTGAAAATTGAAAGGTTTCATGCTGTGCCTGCAAAAATCACACCAAAAGAATTATCATGGTTAGTGCTCCCTGGTGAAATTTGTTTCATATCTTCTTTATATATAGCTCTTCAAGAGCATTTTGTGTATGGGGTAAAGACTTCAGCACAGAATTAACCTAAAACAGCAATATCTTTATGACATACCCCCTTTAAGAAGAGCGACATGAATTGCCAAAGTATTACATGTAGTGTCCTGCATTGTTGCTAAGCACTTACCTCTTTTTCTTCGGTGCATTTTCATCTCCCTCTTCCTTGACACGTCTTTTCCTTCTGAGAGAAAACAAAGTTGCAAAACAATTTTTGAGTGCTTTCAGGCTTGTATCCAAATCGATCATCAATGAGCAGAACACCAAACAAACAAACAAAGAGAAATATCACTCCGTGTTTCACGTGCATATCAATGCTGTTATCATAAGTAGGTGAAAAATGACGTCTGGGTGAGCTGGTCCTGAATAAAACCGCTGTTACTACCGGTGACTGAACATACGAAGCTGACAGTAACGAGTCCTGCACCCTTTGGTCCCACCAGAAACGCAAACTAAACACATTTTACATGCGCGGCCTCAAACGTCTCCTAAATATCATTGGCAGTACAAGGTGACCAATGAAGACGTCTTAGAAAAAGTAAACCTCTCATGTTAAAGCAGAGATGAATGCGCTGGCTTGGTCAGGTTGTCCGAATGGACGATGACCGAATGCCAAAGGAGCTCATTCACGAAGAGCTGTCTCAAGGAACTAGTCCCACAGGCAGACCACAGCTTCGCTTCAAGGATGTCTACAAGGGAGACCTCAAAGATTGAGGAAGCCACAGCTTCCGACCGACAACGTCGGAGACAGGCGGTGAACCAGACTGGCCCTCGCCAGATTGGCATTTCTATGCGCACTTGCTACTGCTTATATATTGCCTACGCATTTTATGGGTGGTGCATTTACGCTTTATACAACAAAGAACAAAACAAGAAAACAACACTGGAAGAAAATAAATAATGGGGGACAGAGAAAGAAACGAGACTTGCGTTCCAACTGACAACTGACATTTCCAGATCATTTTTCCACAGTGGTTATGCAGTTTGTCGGTCAATACCATTGTATTTGTGTCCAGTGGCCAAGAAGTAAGTTACCAATTTAACAGTGATATAACACGCAGTTATGCCAGAAGCTTTAAAAGCTTTTCTTACCGTTTTCTTTCCTTCTTAACTTTCGGTTTCTTCACTTTTTTTCCTTCTTCATCCTCATTTTCAACTCCTTCATCGTCACTTTCTTCCTCATTACTAGCAACAAAATCATCAGCGGTCTTTTTCTGTGAATACAAAGAAAACAGAAAACATGAGAAGAAACCTGAAACAACATAACACTTGCTACATGGGGGGACAATTTACCACGGGCGTAGAGGGAGGTAAACGTGGTAAACAATGTTGTGAAATGCTTTAATAGATCCCTGTTAACTCATTTCACAAAAATGTTTACCACGTTTATCTCTCTAAGCCTGTGGTAAATTGTCCCCTTGCTAAGTGCTGAGTGTCGTTACACGAATAATTACACCGATCAATCACAGCGCAAGAAGACAATCCAATGAACCAATCAGAATTCAAAGTAAATAAGTGTAGCTGGCACGAAGCGCGAGAAAACTAGTGCATGTCACTATTAGCTGTTTTTCAGATTTGCCTATCACAACACGGGAAGACAATCCAATGAACCAATAAGAATTCAAAGAAAATAAGTGTACTCGACCTGGCACGAAGCGCGGGAAAACTTGTGCGTGTCATTATTAGCTGTTTTTTAGATTGGCTTATTGCACCAACCAATCACAACACGGGAAGACAATCCAAGGAACCAATAAGAATTCAAAACAAACAATTGTAGCTGACATGAAGCGCGGGAAAACTTGTGCACGTCACTATTAGCTCTTTTTTAGATTGGCTTAGGGCCTGTTTACATGAAGGTGGGGTACCCCAGAGAAGTGAGGTAACCCGCTTAGGTGGGGTAACCCGCCTGTCCATATAATCTCTCATTTTAATGTGATCACGTTTACATGTTAGGTGGGGTAACCCGCCCCATGTTACCTCACCTACATGGGGTCCCCCACCTTCATGTAAACAGGCTCTTAGTGTCACAACGCCAACATGCAATGCAAAAGAATACAATAAACCCAATCACAACTGTCAAACAAAAACAGCCGATTAAACAGCTTCAAGTTTACCTTTCTTCCTTTTGACGGTTTCTCTTTGGGAGCTAATTCTTCAGGTGTAAACACCAACAGATTCTTTGTGGCTTCTTTGAATTGCTGACGTTTCTCGAGAAGTTCTTTCTCTTGCTGTTCTTTCTGTTCCCTTTTAAGTCTCTGAAAACAAGAACAGATCATGGCAGCAGCTCTTAAATATTGCTCACCGTGAATTGTTTTCTTCATAAAAAATTGGTTTGGCTTTTCATCGCAGTCTAGTTGGTCTTCAATAAGTCGTGCGTATCTAGCCTCTTACCGAAGATTAGCTAAAGGGGATGGTGGACGCGGAGAATTGTTTGAGATTGGAGTGGGGGAGGGGTATTCATCAAATGAATGACTTAACCTTATGAAAAGATATTACTCGAATTATTAGGTGACATTTCCGTCTCGAAGTCAACAAGATCTATTCCTGTTCTTGTTCATATCGCACATGAGTGAATGAAAATATTTCAACGGTACATTCATTGTGAATGAACAAGTGACAAAATTTGCCAGTACGAGTAATCGCGGTTCAGTTTGTTTATTCTATCAAAACGAGACGACGATTTCATGGTCATGCAAAACGTACGTATCGAGTTTTGGCACGATTTACGTCATTACTGTTTGCCATGAGGACATCTACGATCGCTACTGCACACAAAGACGTAACAATACTCACTTCCACCCATATTTTGACATTATCGTCTTTAAGATGAAAAGGTCTTCATTTTCTGTTGTCTAGAATAAATAAACTCAACCGCGATTTCTTCCATTGGCAATTATTTTCACTTGTTTGCCCCCTGAAAAACCACGTGACATTGCTTTTATCCCATCAGTCCTTGAGCGCGTGCAAAGATGGCGGGCATCGTGAATTAAGTCTGTTGAGGAAGGAGGAATAAATAAGGGTCTTACCTCCTCTTCTTCCCTTTTTTTCCTGAGAGCTTCTTTTTCCTCTTCCTGTTTCCGCCGCACTTGCTGTTCCTCCTCGTCCACCTTGCGAGCACGTGACACATGGTACTGCGCCTGACTCAGCAAATCCGATGTGTGCCTGTGCAAAACAAACACAGTGTAAAACGAGAAAATGAGAGGGAACGAAGTAACTCTGACTATACTGCCGCGAGAACCTACCTTTCTCTTCTTTTAATACTGCCTCACACAGGGGGAAAAATGACTCAAATGACTTATATCACCAAGCAAAAAAAGTGTAATTTGCGACTCCAACAAAAAGATCTTATTTCTGTCTTAGATACAGTCAGAGGAGGAGGAGAACGAGGAGGGTGGGGAGAGAGAGACGGGAAGAGACCCAAAACCTTGTCTTGACGACCAATCAAAGTGTTTTGACTACAAAGAACTGAATCAAAACGGGATACCCTCGGGATCAGTTCTTGCCTCCCACAGTCGGTAACGAGTCGTTAATGCAGGAATGCGTGACGACATTTGCGTGAAGAACGTCTGCGTGGGAGGCTATTTCTTAGCCGGATGCAGAGTTCTAGTGGTCCGCCTCAGACAGTGGTCTACCTTCAGGGCTGTCACCAAGATTTCAAGTTGCAGGGTAAATACAAGGTGGAGGGGAATCAAACAGCTAGGGGTTTCTTATGGTTCTATTTTTCTTCTATTTTCCCATGAAAGTAGGCGGGGGCCACGTTCATAGTAGCCGGGGGAACTCCCCGACCCCCGCCTCTTAACAACAGCCCTGTACCTTATACTGAGAAAATATTGTCACTCGTAGGCAGCTTGGCGGCCTTGTCCAGTCAAAGACTAAAGCCTTCATTAGCGAGTCCTCCTCCTTAAAGGGGTGTGTGCTTTTTGCGAAAGTTTAGATTGACATTACCCTCGAATGCATTCGTAAATAGCATAAAATGTTTGGACTTAAAAACACTGACAAATACCTGGCCTCTGACGCAGCCCAACTCAGGTCAAATTTCATACGATCACCATTATGACTCAGCCAAGTAAAGTTCCTGAAATACGACATCAAAACATGATTACCCCTTACAATATTCAAACACTACTCTGACTCAAACGTCAGCGAATATGTTCATTGATCTATTATGAAAGCCAGCTTACGACAATCCTCCACATTCTAGTCACTAACGTACTCTGATTAGCAACACACTATTTTCTCATAAATGACTGCCTTCAAATCTTTAAAATTATATTGTTATTTCAATCATGAGCATTTTCCGAAAGTTCGCAAAAGCAAGGACGTCTCACTACAAAAACACTAATCTAAAATGGGACATCATGTACTAATATGAAAAGTGGATTGATTACATGAACGTTGCGCAATCAACTAATAAATCCGGATTTCCCGAATGAACGCAACCTCGGCGTTGAAATTCTTTTTCGGATTTCGCGTTCGATCGCAAATACGAAATCCGGATTTTAAAATCTAAATCCAGATTTCCGAATCGAACGCAACCCGAGATATATGTGTTCGGTTTTTTTTTTTTTTTTTACCGTTCGATTGAGAAATCCGAAAAAGGGTTTGAAAAACTGTCCTTAAGAACAGCGGTCTTGCACGCGCACGCATAAGTAGCAAAAAGAAGACCGCTGTTCACAAGAATAGTTTTGCAAATCCTTTTTCGGATTTCTCCATCGAACGATAAAAAGGAAATCCATGAGATCCCGATGTGAATTTTTTAATTGAAATCCACCCTGAGGACGGATTTCTTGGAGGTGAAATCCGTTCCGACGCGTTCGATTGGAAAATCCGAAATCCGGATTTCCCAATCGAACGGGTTATGGGCTCCTGGCAGCGCTTCACTTCCAATATGGAACCTCTAGATTATGCACGGTAAAATTTGATCAGGAACAAGGTCCAACCAAAATAGAGATTAAGTTTTTTTGTCCGACATTGTCGAATGATTTCCTGTTATTGCAGCTTTACCACGATCACTTGGTAACCAAAACTAACTGAATTACATACAACTTCCCAAATTTGTCCCAGTTACCTTTGAGCTTGTTCCAGTTCTCTGACGGCACCAAGCACGACCTTAAGTGGGCTCTTTTCAGCTTTTAAAATGGCCGTCGCAAGGCGCTGTTGCACCAGGGAGATGTTAAACAACATGACGGTGTCATTTGGAGCGATATGGCGAGCCTTGAGTAACACTTGTTTACACTCTTTCATTTTCCCTGCTTTGAAATAAGCACGGGCCAGGTACAGCAACACTTCAACATTGTGATGCTTGAAGAACTTTCTCAGGCAGTTCTCGTACTGCAAGCGAATGATAAAACATCTTAAGTGTCACTACACAACAACTCCACTTACATTCACCTACATATGATCAAACAGACAAGAACTCAAAAGATCACAAATCACAAATCGAGATCAAACGTTAGCACTCCAAGCTGAAAGTTTGGTACAACAAAAAATCTATTGTTCGGACACACGTTTACACTTAGATGCGGTACAACAGTTTGCATCTTGTTTGATTATGGATTAGCTGATGTATCATCTAAACCCGGGGAATCGTACAATCTAAAAAGCCATTATAAACTGTTTACACTGAGATATAGTATGAGTGTATGTGTTTTGTTTGACTAGGGATTTGTTGAGAGGTAGTGTACACAAGAGTCTGTCCATCTAGCCCCGGTAGTTCAACAAATAGATAGAGGTTACACTGGATAAATCACTATCCAGTGGATAAGACAATTAGTTTTTCCTCATACTTTTACGCTGGACAGTGCTTTATCCCGAGGGTGGCACTATCCAACGCTTGCGCAACCAGGGCCTGGATAGCTGCCACATACTGTTCACACTTAAATGCTACATTCTGGACTAGCTCAAAAGCAATCTGGAGACGAGTCCTACCATCTGGATAGCCGCCACATACTGCTTTTGCTCCACGTAAATATGAGCCAGGTTAAGCCAAACATCAGGAATGTCAGCAGTTGCTTCACGGACCTGTCAATACGATGTGAATAAGAAAAAGAAAAGAAAACTCTGTCTAAAACTGGATAAAACCCGAAATACTCAAAATTTAGAGTCATGGTGGTCACGAAAAGTGCTATTCTGAAGTTGAAAATAGGATCTTAACAACCATACAATTTGGCGAACTTCTGATCTTTCGAGACGCTGTTATATCAAAAACTCGACAGAGTGTTTGTCCTGATGCCCATATGCTGTAGTTACCACTCACCATACATATTATTGTAATAATCACTACTACAACAAAATACTCAATCCTGATTGGCTATCACCTGTCCTGATTTCGACACTAATAGTAAAATACGTATCATGCCTAAGTAATTGGACAGTACCCGCCATCAAGAGCGCGCAATTACATGGGATTTTATTTTCACTTCTCGCAAAAAACTCTCGGAATAACCTGTGTTTTTCAGAAAGCTTAGAATATTACAAATTTTGTTATGGCTATGATTAATTAGTAACAGGATTTTGTGTCGTCCAATTCGCTCCGCAATCGCAATCGCAATCGGGCGACCGCGTTAATCACTCGTATGATTACAGGCCGAATTGGACTCCACTCAGTCCTTTTGCCATTATTAATTACCTGAGAAAAAACATCGCGAGCCTCCCGTAAAAAGTTCTTATGAGCAAGAATACACCCTGAAGGAAAAGCAAAAAAGTTACGTACAATCATCAACAATTTCTGACTTCCTAAGTGCTCTATTGCCTGTAATAAATTATAATCGACACCTTTTCAATTCCATGAATAGAGCTACATAGTATTTTGGTCCTGGCAGAACGCTCATACACGTTGACGTTTAGGAAATGCTTATTTATCATATTTATTTAAAATACATCAAACGTTAGCCGGGTAGGAGTAAGACGAGACCTCATAAAAGTTTTAAATTAAGTTGATAAGTTCTTTTTTTCAATTCAAAAAGTAGCTAATGCAGTTTACCTTTTAAATCAGCTTTTAAGCTCCATACGAGGTTGGAGTAAAGAAAGAAATTTGCTGTAACAGATACCTCGTTTTATAGTGTTCTGCTATTTTACTGGCACTCCGCTAAAAAAATTTGAAAGGAATAATCCAAAAAAACATACCAGGATTAAAAACCACAACTGGTGGCAGGCAACCACATGGCCGAAGATTTAAAAAATTGAACCCAAACTAAATACTGCATCACATTCTGCGATATACGTATTTGTAGGTTAAGTGGGACATAGTTTGGACGAAGGAAAATGATATGTCACAAGCGACGAATCATGCAAAACTAACCAATTCCATTGGCTGCATACAAATTTCTGGAATCATTTCTCAGCACTTGTTTATACAAAGCCAGTGCTCTGTCCTGATGTCTTTTCTCTTTGGATCTGTCTCGTGTAGGGGTGTGAAGTGTTTGTAGCCATACATTCCCAAGCGCCAATAGCGAATACGCATCGTTAGCTGTTGAAGGTTGCTTCAAGATTCGCTCAAATTTCTTCTGCCCAGGCCCCCACTCCTGCTTGGCCAAATGAAGATTTCCAATCAGTGACCACGCGTCTGGATGATCCTGTTGAACGAAAAACAGGCAAGGTGTAAAGTGGCTGACCAAGAGGCCTCAACTGTTTTCTATGACCAGTTAGAAGAGAAAAACAGTATTACTAGTAATAACCAAAGATTACAAAGTGCAGGCGACAACGATCGAAGGTCAAAACGCTTTGGTCTATCGCTGTGCTTTGCGTAAGTTTCATGTGACAGTTGGTCAAAACACGCGTGATCAGATTGCGTTCTGTGTAGTCCATTCATTCTCCGTGGAATTCCAAACGAATGCTGGCTCCACACATGCAACGCATGCGCAATAACAACCTGGAGATGAGGATTGCGGGCTCCTCTTGTCGCCCGCGACAACTGCTCGCCATCATTGTCAAGTTTGAATTTAAAAAATCACGATTGTGTTCGAATAGCTCGAAATTGGAGAATGTCAAAAACTGTAGGAAAATATCAATAATAATGTAAAAAACAACAAGCAAAACTATTAGCACTAAGTAATGATCACTTCGATTAAACAATTACAGTTGTAGTAGTTTGCACGACTGGGGTCGCACTTGAAAAATCAGAAATGTTTTTCATAAGGAATAAGAGACCACAACTGAAAACTCGCTAACCTTTTAAATTCATACTTGATGATGCTGGCTAGCAGTCATTCGAACATTATGTTTTGATGGAAAACCTTTCTTATTGCATTGTTTGATTAAGAAATGTTGCTACTTATAGGAAGTCATAGAGAGATTAAGATTCACGTTTACGCAAAACGGCAAACGTGAATTTGTACCACGTGACCAAGTCTTTCCCTTAATTGTCGTTAAAAGTTTATTACTTCAACTAAAAAATAAGTAGTTTCACGCCAGTTTTACACATAAGAATTGTTCCGGACAGTTTTTATCCGGTTATTTTCTATTCTGAGAAATTCCCGACTTGAATCTGACGTTTTCTATTTGGCGTAAACGTAAATCTTAATCTCTCTAATAACATTTTTAGCCCTTACAATTCCCTACTCCGGAAACTCTAAGGAGAATGGGTACCGGCGTTGGGTGTAGTTATTTCTGGGATCGTTTGGGTGAGCAAGCGTTAGTTATGATTGGTCGATGGTATCCAAGGCAACTATTAGCCAATCAGAAGTAACGCTTGTCAACTCAAACGATCCCAGAAATAGTTGCGCCGAAAGCTTGTACCCATTCCCCTTGAAGTTTCTGGAGTGGGGAATTCTGTGGGGGAGGAGAGCAGCAGGGTTTGTCCTAATTTCACGAGTATACCATTTGATTACCTATTAATATCATGGGTGACGAATTACGTTCACAATCGTGGATTTTTGACATGTTTATCCTGGATCGTATCGATCGAGAACTCCACTCTCTCAAAAGGTTAGAGCTTAAATTCGGCTTAAGTTCAGATTTTTCAGAATTTTTCGACAAAATACCTGTCAAAATCCTTCTTGATGTGCTCTTTCGTGTGTTCAGGTTTTCTAGAGCTTCTTTTAATGCCCTGACATCTTCATTTATAGTTTTAAAACTTCGTCGCCATCTTTGCACTGAGACGTACGAAGGTTTCCATGGCAATTTCATATTTTCACATGTGAAATTACAAATTAACGCTGAAATTTCGCGCCACAATCAAGGAGAAATTCGTCACCCATGATACTACAATTCACATCTTTCATTAATTTTTTTTGAGAGTATTACAAAGTTACAGAACCCGAGACAGATAAGATGGACAAAATATCCAAAAAGCAGATTTAACATGACGTACTGTTTATCAACGAAACTTTTTAATCCCTGACAGCTCAGAGAATAACGATACTTGTCTCAACTCTCTAATCATTGGCACAGTTAATCACAATGACTGAAATTTGCCCACACGACTACCGTAAAACGGTCATGATGTCAGAAAACTTTTTGATGAATGCACCACAACATTGTTCTTTGCTAAGTCTTTTTTCTTCCCACAACTGACAAAAAAAGGGAGCCTGGAAACAGGATTGGTATAACAAACTGTATCTTGGTTAACAAGTCAACTGTGTCGCCCAGTGGAGGTGGGTGCCTGGGACGTCCAGGGGCTTCCAATTTTGGCAAAACCAGCCCTTAGATAGCGTTAAACCCCGATGGCTAGTAAACCCGCGCCCTCCAGCCATGAGCCCCCAAGACACTGAGAGCAGGCACCTGTCAAACTGATTTATCAGTGGAAAAATAAAAGCGAGGGAGGGGAGGAAGCAAATGTACAATCTAAAGGCTAAACGAAGCGAGTGTACTAAGCACATGCAGCTGATGCAAGCAAGGCTGACCGCTTTCGAGCCACCAAATTGACCGCTGAGCTACAACAAGAGATGGCGCTACTTGTTGTTAACTGCATTGAATCATAGAGTACCTGATTAATTTGAAGGGCTTCCTTAAACCAATCAGATGCTTCGTAAATTTGCCCTCTGTCACGTGCCATGCAACCAAGTCGAAGATAACCTAAACGGAAAAAAAAGAAAAAAAACATTAAAATGAGGAACATTCATACAATTAAAAATCAGAGAATTATTTACACCACATCAAAATCTCAAACGCCACGAGTATCGCTAAATCTAGGCTACTCCTTAAAGTAACAGAAGTCAGTTTTAAAACTTGGTTTACAAAAGAAATCCCACTATATTTTCTTTGCAAATGTAAAGTGTTAAGAATATAAAATTATTACTCAACCACAGCAAATACTAAACAGTTCCATCCAGTCTTCTGATCTCAAAATGTTTGAACAGGAACTTATGCTGTCAAAAATTACTAGGGGTCTTACGAAACTACGACGGCGACAGCAACGGGAACATCTAAAACGTCCATGAAAACGTCACTGAAAAAATAGACTCCGCATCCTTCCACTTCGCGATTTTCCCAAGTCGCCCTGTTACTTAAAAGATGGAAATTTATGTTGGAACTGAATAAAGGGAACCGCGCCCCAGTTGAGACAGATGTGATAGAATTTATCGCCTTGCCGTTCCCGTCCTCAAAAAAAAAAAAAGAAAATTTGATCATTTCACGTCGTAGTTGTGTAGGGACGGCAAAGAAATGGACAAAAAAGCGTGATGCAAGTGCAGAGTTGTTTTTTTGCTAACTAAACCTATTGCTTTGCTTGTTGACGCTATCGTTGCCGTCCCCGTCGTAGCTTCGTAAGGACCCTAATGTTGCATCCGTTTGCACGGGGCTTTACTCTCGTTCTAAACTGTGCTGGTCAAGGCACTTACAGTCCACATAGTTAGGATGTTCCCTGAGGATGTTCTTGTACAGCGCTTCTGCTTTGTCAAACTCACACATGGCTTCGTGCAGGCGAGATAAGTTGTAAGTTGTGGTGACAGATATGGCATTATAATAACTCTCATCAGCTTGGCTCTCCTGCTTACATCTCTCGAGAGATGACTCATAGAATCTCTGCAAATAAGAACATTCACATGCTGTTAAAAGGCAGATAAATAAGGCTATCTAAAGAATGCTTTAGGGTAATAGTATACCAGTACTATTGAAAGCAAAGGATCTACTTACAAATAAAACTCTATCAATGAAACTGTTAATGAATAGCAGAAACATACTGCTTGCAAACACATCAGGATTGCCCTTCTAAAACCCTATACCACTGGCAGAAAAGGATAAAAAAATTATCTTTAAATTATCATTCCAGCATTACTACAATCGGTGACAAAATGAGTTGAGACAGTTCACCCTAGAGGGGCTTTTTGACATTTTCCTGACTTCAAAAGGGAGAAATATAGCTTTTCCTCCCCCATCCCCTCCATGCAATGTTGTGCTACTGTTCGAGCTACCTACAGAAAACAACAAACACCACAACTTTGAATGGAGGGGAAAGGGGAGGGGTGTGGATTCTTTTGTTCTCTGAAGTTACCCTGTTTGAGTAGAATGTCTCAACCATTTTGTCGCCGATTGTAGTTTACTGGTCTTTTACCTTGGCTTCATTTAGATTTCCAAGTCTAAAATGAAGTGCGCCCACATTGTTGAGAATCTCTGGGGGTACATCAGCCTTTACCTTCTCCTTCAGAAGACGGGAAGCTGTACCATAGGCTTGCAAGGCAGACTGCAAAAACAATCCAATAATAATTACAGTGTATCTCACTAGCCACAAGTTCTGCAAAAAAAGGATTTAAGTCTAGGAATATAAAAATGGCTCCGCCCAAAATGGGTACCTTTTCCAGGCTTCAGGTATATGAAAGGGTAGGGATTTTACAAGTTGAGTATATAAAAGGGTAGGGAAATCTGTCATTTTGGTTTGTAAAGGGGTCGAAAAGGGCCAACAGACACATTTTATGGATGTGAAAGGATGTGAAGCACAATCCAGCATTTTTATGGAAATTGCACTATATGTGACAATTATTATTATTATAAAAAAGGGTAAGGGGTTGGGCGTCGGGGTGGAGTCTCCCTGTATATAACTTTGTTGAGTACCTCCCACCACCGCCAGGTCTAAAACACCCGAGTAAGGCTGATGTACCTGTACATCTGACTGTTCCAGTATTCCAGCCAACTCAATCCAGGCTTCAACATCATCTGGGTACTCTTCAGTCACTTTCTTCAGATGGTTCTTTTCAAAATAGAATAAAGTATTAAAAATTTACTTTCAGATCAACCTGGCTGGGTTGTTGAAAGTTGGGTTTAGATAATCCTGGGTTTGTGCGAAATTTAAATTCATACTTGAAAGTTTTAAAGGTAAATTCAGTTTAGTTCTTTTTGTCTACAATTTGATGACTGGATGCTCTAAAAAGAATAGGGAAAATTTTCTGAGAAAATGCTTTTAAGTATAACCCAGGGTTAGCTCTAATTGGCCTTCGAACACCACTGTTTTTCTTCTGAATAAAATGAGGCAGAATCACTTTTTAAAATTTTAAACAAGTAAGGATTCATTAATTGGGGAAGGACATTAAATCCACAGGGATAAAAAGGTAAACCAGAGTTATTTTGAAATGCTAAGTGTCCTTTAATACCCTTCACAAATTGCAGAATCCCAAATTGTGTGGACTGAGGCATTGCTTCGACTTCATTTGTCTAACAAGCCATCAACTGTATGTATGAATACTGTATGTGATATTCCATGCAGTAGCCAGCCACCCTGATACCATTTTGCACGGTAAGGACTGGAATAATCAATTCATAAAGCCCTTCATGAACTCTGGTTAAGTGCTAGCTTGTCCTCTCCTCTTGGGCTTGTCACCTTCTTGTGATGGTGAGTCTTGCAAGTTAAATGATTCCATGAACTATGCTGGCAGGATTTTATCCCTGATAGGTCCTACCATGAGAGACTGGTTAACAAAGAACGGCCAGACTAAGGACAACCCAGTTTGAAGGTTTGGTCAGGGGCGAAACACCCCTCAATGGAAAAAAAAAAACAGGATCCTCTTCCACACTGGGGAAAAGAAGCTAATGATGATGATGATGACACTAGATTGATTATCTTTTCATACTGCATTATGTTCATTTGCGAAACAAGGAGAATTCATTTGAGATCGTCAGTCACAACTTCAATACTGTAGAGCTGTAACATCTGCAATAATTCTGAAGTAGTTTGTTCAGGGCTGGACAGGTTCCAGATTATGACATGTATGGTTGAGCACAATGTTGTAACAAGTGTCCAAGCCACAAGAAAATCTAATACTCTTGACTGAAGATCACTATGATAGAGTGAACATGTAAGTTATAAAAGATTTAGCAGTACAATGCTTTTTATATTACATACCCATTTAGATAAGTTCTCACCTTGGCAGTTTCTCTTTTGTCCAGGTCTGTTGATGTACTGTACAGGGATCCTAAGATTTTAAGTGTCTCGTAGTTACCAGGTGTTGCTTTCAGGACCTTCTCAAAACACTGGGCAGCCTGTGCAAAAATATAACAGGACAAACAAAATATAAAAAAAAAAATGCAGGAAGAGGCAAGATGTAGAACACTATCATACATAGAGTTGAATTAGACTCCCTTGGGTAAAGGGGCAAGAGGATGCCGCTTATAAAAGGTTGGCCACCTAGAGGCATTGTTTACAGTTATGTGTAATTTACTGACAATCTTGTTCACCAACATTCGGGTAACTCAGCGTGCAAAGAAAGGCATGTCTGATAGCCCGGGGCTAGTGGATTTTGCTACATGTATTAGGATATTGAATTCTGTTCTTAAGTTGCCCAATGGGCAAGTGAAGTTTTTTGGGGAATTTAAATTACAGAAGAACTGTAATCAATCATGCTTATCAAATTTTTTAGGGGGCTTGTTAAAATAACTCTTAAGCTAATACATGCTGGCTACAGCTTGCCCAAATCTAACTTTTTTGCACCTTATAACTGGCTGGCTAAATAGAGGGTGCTCACTTAATAAAGGTTCAACTTAATGATGTGTAATACACTGGAAATCCACCTAACGACCACCCTATTTATAAGACCAACTTGTTATTAGGACCATTATTCTTTCAACACTGACGTAAAGATCACCGAGTCATTTATTATTTTGAAGACCCCGTTAGTGGGACCACCTTGTTATTACAACCACGATTAACAGGGTTCCACTGCAAATCTATTTCAGGTTATACTCACATTGTTTGTGTCGCCTCTTGCAATGTACATTTGTCCAAGACCAAAATGAGGAAGAATGAAGTTAGGTGATGCAAACTGTGTGGCTTGATAGTAGTACTGAAAAGCCTGGTCATAATCGCCCTTAAATTGAACAGCACAACCATGAATAAACATACCAAAATAATCAAATAGGTTTTCAATTTCAAAAAATAATTTATATTTCACTTGCAAGATAATGAGCTTAATCAAACTGGGCAGAAACAAAACATTACTGCAGACTACACTTCCTCAAGGGACCATACCACAAACAGAAGAAATAACTTGACTCGATGTTTTTTGTTTTATTTCCTTTTAAATTTTTGCCACAGGGCTTAGGACAACAAACAGCCGTATAACCTGGATTTTTTTTAAGAAAGCTGGGAAAAATTGCAAGGAAAAGAGAACTGGAAAGTGGTCATAGAAAATTGGAGCAGCTTACTTGGACATGAAAAGCTCTAGCTATTTGATAACAACTCTCTGCCTGCATGGCCTCTACTTCAGTACCATGAAATGCATGAAGAGCCAAATGCTGGACTTTGTTATACTCCTGTCAGAGAAAGTTCAAGACAGAATTGTTGAACAGTTAACTAAGTTCTCTAAGATGATCATTCATGGAGGTAAGAATAGGGCTCACAAAAAATCCCCTACGGTAGTCTGGGACAGGTAGATTTTCTTGCTGGGCAAGTATTTTACTTTACTTTATTGAATTTGTTGCATGTTATCACTTAATAGGTACACAAAAACATAAAATACGTTACATAAAGAAAACAAAAAGAAAAGAAAATGGAATAAATAAATAATGCAACTGGAGCAGGAGACAGGACAATGTCCCAGATGATATCTTGTCCCCAAAATCAAATGGAATACCATAAATAATAGACCCCCCCCCCAACCTTAACTGCCCTTTGCCCCTCTCCCCCAAAACAAGCACATAAGTATCACCCTATACCCCACTGGCTGGGAGAACATAAGAAGATAGAGTATTGTGAGTGTAAACATCTTAAATCCTTTTCTTCAAACTAGAAAGCGACGCAAAGTTTCATGCTTTTATCATAAAAGTGAACCATTTTAGTTGACAACAGTTGGACTAGAGCAAGAAGTGGGCCCAGGTAAGCTAAAATGCGAGAGCTGCTTGCTTGAAAGGACAACCTGGAAATATTCACATTATTTTTTCAAGTCCTAAAAAGGCAACTACAATAGCAATGACTTAGTCATCAACTTCCTGTACCAGCATTTTTCATACAAACATTGAATGGTTGGGCTTTTAACACTAAACAGGGAATAACAATTATCATTAATGTAGGATGGTTAAGAGCACAAACCATACTGTTTACATGTACCTTCTTAAAGAAGAAATGGTTTGCCAGATGATTGAGAACCATAGGATTAGAGCTGTCCAGTGTATATGCTCTTGACAACAGTTGAACCCCATTTTTAATAGAGTCCACCTATGATAAAACAAAGATTTAAACATGCATTGATAATACTGTAATAAGCTACAGATAAGAAAAAGATTCCACGATACAGCTTACAACATAGACACGATATACCTAAATCAGAGATTCCAACCCCGTCAACTAAAAAGAGGGAGGTTTTAGGAGCAGCATAGCCACTCCCATGAGCCTCTAGGGTGGTCTGGGGGCATACTCCCCCAGGAAAAAATTTACGATATGTGCCTCTAAGATGCCATTTCCTGCATTTTGAGATCACAGTCAATGCGTAACCATGCCCAAAATTATCACAGGATCATGCTTGCATGCCAAAAGATATAAAACATTACTGACAAACCACAGAAAATGGCAAAGAATCAACAAAGAAAACATTATCTTTCTTTAGCTAGGAAAAGTTTCAAAAACTGCGAGAATATTAAGCGAAAATGGGAGGTTTTAGGCCAAAATGGGAGGGTTGGAATCTCTGCTATGTGTAGTTAACTAAGGCCCCATTTATGACTATGGAGAAAACTTGTCCAAGATAAAAGGGTCGCCCACCTACCTGGGCTACTCTTGGCAAGCCAACTTTTCATACATGTACATTTCCTTACAAAGCTTGGAAAACCATTAAGTGCATATAAGAAACAAAAAAGTCGGCGTAGCTAGAAGGGTAACTTGCCTAGCTAGATCACCCATCACCCTCTTATAGCAACAACAACAACAACAACAACAACAACAACAACAACTGTTTATTCAATTTGCAAATAATTTAGGACTATGTCCCCAACAATTAGCAAAGCTATTCTAGGTGGGCAACAACTTTTCTGCATTAAACACTTTGGCACGGCCAGCCAGAAGGAAGGGTGACCCTTCTACTGAGGAAAGGTTTTGTCCAAGTAAACCTAAGATAAGTTTTTTCTGATTTCAGTAAGAGATGTTAGGAAATGAATGCTAAACGAACCACTTCCTACCTTTTTTGAGTTCAATTCAAGGATAGCAAGCCCTGTCATTGCTCCTGTACAATGAAGATCTAAACTAAGAGCTCTCTCAAAAGCCAACCTGGAAGAGTAACAGAAGCGGAATTAGATCATAGTTCTTATATCTAACAGGCATACACCTATGATTGGCCAGCATTAAGCCACTGATACAATGACATAAATCTTCTTGCTTAGGGAACAACAACAGTAAGTCAAAGATCAGAGGTCAGACCACCAGGGTCTGAGGTTCTAAGTTCTGAAGACTGGCATTTTAAGTGTGATACTAAATGTACTCTATCTTCACCCAACCTGCATGCTGACACATCTTACATGCATACAGTCATTGTAGTTACTCAGCCTGGGTGAGTTTAAAAATCATGGACATATTTTGTTGCAAACTCTTCTCATAGATGTTACAAAGTTGACTTGTTCTAAAGCAACAACTAGAGTAATTTTTAATTATTTGAAACATAATTATTCTTCTGATGAAAAATATGACCTCTCACATGAAAATGTTCCTTATGTTTCCTCACGTTTTTGTGTGAGAGGTCACAAAATATTTAAATGCACACAGTCATGTAGATAATACACTGTCAGTCCATATTTTAAATAGATATTTCTTACCTTGCTTTATCCATTTTACCAAGCTTAACAAAGCAGTGCCCCATTCCTAACCGGACAGATGCTGTGGGATAACATGAAGGGTCAGTCATGTACATGTAATGGGTGTATCTTTGTAGCAACATTTAAAAACCAACACAACGTAAGTTGCCACCCTCTCGATCCCATCACGTGCTACATTTCGGCAACCAAACGTCATGATCAAATGCAGTGTCAAATGTCAGTCACTAACAAATCCAAAAACTAAACAGTGTGCTAAAACAAAGCTTTTCGAAAGAACGCCCCTTTTCCTCAGTCTTTGAGGTACTACTAAGTGAAATTTTTTTGTTGGTTTCTCGCTGGACTTATGAAAAAAATTGCCGCTTAAAATGATTCTTGCGCTATGCGATTCTCATAGCATGCGATGAGAATTGCGCAGCATGTGATGCAATTCTCATCCGCAGGAAATGAGAAGCAACTGGAAACTTACTTTGGAGCAGTATTTTATAATACTACAATAACAAATATTCGCTGGTATAAGAAATGACATTCTTCAGCATAGTTGTCGCAAAGTTGTGGAACAAGATCTGAGCGTACAAAAGTATAATATTTTCACAGAGCTGTCACAGTGCTGTGGTGTACATACAGCTGTAGCCTGCACCACAGACGAAACTACAGCTGTCGATTTTTTGTAAACTGTGGTTAAGTCCAAAACAGTGCTGAAATCCTTGTTCTAGGCCCCCACCTGTGTACCAGGATTTGAGTACGTGCCATGATTGGCCTGTTAAAAAGCCATTGTCAATATGGCCATCAGGTTGAAAGGAAATTTGAAACACATTTCAGGTAATTTGTTGAGTCCATTGCAGACCTAGAACAAGGATTTCAGAGCTGCTTCATTACTAACCGAGGTTGAATTACGTCTGTGATACAGGCTATGGTGTACAATGTTATTCTACAAATATATTTGACACATGGTCAGTATTGATAACAAGCTGATCTCTCATTTTCACATCACCAGCCCCAAAGTTTCTTTTATTTATTTACATGTTATTACTGTAAATTGTATCAGACAATCACCTACCTGGACAATTTGGATTTGTTCTCAATGCCTTTTTGTAATATGCAAGAGATCCCTTGTAGTCCCTCTTGTTAAATGATATACAGGCTTTTCCTGCAAGCAATACAAAACATTTTTGTGAACACGATCATGCTTACATGTACTTTGTAACTAGTAACTCATGCTCAACTTTTTGTTAAAAATGCTACTTGAAGCTAGTCAAGCCCATTTCTGGTCACAATCTACCCAAAACATTGCCATTTCTTTTCCTGATAATAATTAATAAATTACAGCATCTGAAGTACGGCCATGCAGTTTTGGTTGTCCGCAATTTTACTGTATTGATTAAGAGATCCATGCATGATTCCCATGTACAACCTGTAACATGGATTTCCACGAAAATTTATAAAGCTTGCTTTGCAAAGAATTAACATGCTCAGGAAGAAAAAAAACAAACAATCTAACTTCAGAAAATTGAACCCCTAATCAGCCAGTATTATTTCCACTAAGAAACAAGATGGAGCAGAGGGTAATTATTGTTACCTACCTAACAAGGCTGGGATGTTGTTTCCCGACTGTTGTTTACACAAAAAGAACAAAAATGATACAGTTATAATACAGTCATGCAAGCACAAGTACAAGGGGGGGAGGGCTGCTTGAAACACACAAAATAATTCATGGCATGCGTGCTGTAGGATACAAAGATTGATCAATCGATTTGAACATGTGTATTTGTAGAAATATCCCACTCATGTAATTTCTGTGGCAGTTCTTATGGCTGTTGTTTAACAATGCATATTATTTTCTTTTAGCTTTTGTTATGCTTTAAAATAGGAGGACTATATTTTAGCTTCAGTATACTGTATACGGAGTTTTGGAGTCTGCTTCAGTTTAACTGTCTGGTTACAAAGAGGCCCAAACATTTTCAATTTCCGCCTCATCTTTTTTAAACTGAGACTCATTGGTTATTGACAGGGACTCATGATTTTTCACAAGATGAGTCCCAGGACTCACCATAACTATTTGCAACAAAATCTAGCTAAGGAAAAGGTGAGCAGGCTTTTTTATTAGTCAAGCTGGCTTTTTTACTCAACTGCATCTCTAAAATTCCCCTGTCTTTGTTTTCATTTGCAATTTGAGCTCTTTTTCAGCCGGTGCTTAGCGACATCCCTGCCTTTTCTTTTGATTATGCCTGACATTGCAAAAAAGCTACAGGTGTATATGTAATAATACAGTGGTGGATCCAGGGGAGCCGGGCCCCTTCTTATTTTTAGACCAAACTGAGGCCCAGGGTCGGGTTGCAAAAACATCTTAAGATTAAGGGAACTTGTAACTATTGTTTCCGAACAAAAGTTAAGAGCCCTCTTATCTTAAGAAGGTTTTATGCAACCTGGCCCTGAAGGCCCCCCCCCCCCCTTATCTAAGGGTCTGGATGACTGCCCCCCACCCCTTATCTCAAGGTCTGGATCCAGCACTGTTCTAAGCCTCCCCAAGGACTACAGCACCCTACTACATGAACCTGTGTGCACTTGCCAGCAGTCTTTGTTCATGTAGGGAGAGAATAACATTTAAAAGACAAAATTAATCACAACAAAATTGTCTTACCTGAGCCAACACAAAGTTGAACTGTGCATCTGCCTGTTCCATTTTATCTCCTTCCAGGAGACAGAAGTATGCCCTGCCAAGCAAGTGATTCTGAAAAGAAAATCCAGAAACAGAACGTGAGGTATGGTGTACATAAATGTACAGTAAGCAGTTCCAAAAAAAAAAAAGGTTAAAGGCTTGTTTATAGTGGAAATTGCACTTAGCTTGTCCAGCTAATTTACAGGCACTCCACTCAAATATTTAGAAACAAATAATTCAAATACAACATAACAGGATTAAAAACCCCAACTGGCAGAAGGCAACCAGTTGGCTATTTACAAGCGTGGCCGAGAAATTGAACTCGGGACGACCGAGCACAAATCCAGCAAGTGGCCAGAGCGGGACTCGAACCCGGGACCGCCGGATTGCGAGTCCGACGCGCTGACCACTCGGTCACGCTGCCGAAGTGGAACTTCTCTCCCATAAGCATGTCAAAGGATAAAATTTGGAAATTTCAGGGAATTTTGACTTTGGCTGCTTTTGGGAGTGAAGCAGCCTCCATCAAGGAAGAGACAAGTTAGTGACTGCTTAACAAAGGTTGATCATTTAGTAGAAGTTATGTCCAAGAACTCTGTTGAATGGCCACTAAATAGATGGTAGGCACATGTAATGTACATTGTAGGTTTAACTGTGTTTACATGTATTATAGTCAACTCTGTCTTAACAGACAGCTCTATAAAATTGACACCTTGGAAAAACAAAAACCTGGAGTTGGTCATGTACTCCCTTTATTTGAATCTGCACTACGAGACGGACATCTTTCTAAGATGGACATATTTGCATGTAGTGCCAGTCCCAAAACGTGTCTGTCTTAGAAAGAGCTGGTTGTAATGATTTCTGATTTCCACAAGAAGCACAACTCCAAAAATAAATTTTGACAAAATCGTCTTTCAATCTATATTTGGATTTCTTTGTTTTTATTAGGAAAGTTCAAAATTTGCAAATACATGTGAAACTGCCACAACTACAGTGTACCTGTAAAACCTGTTGGCGTTACAGTTAAGTACAGTGACAGACTTTACCTGGTCATACATGATAATCTTGTCTGCTGTGGAATATAGTGATGTTGACTGAAATGAAGAAGAACATAGCATTATAAAGCTTAAAGTTCTGTAGTGTTCCCATACTTGCACACTGTTCCTTTTTGCCCAAACCTTACTTCAATGTGCTTTAATGAAGCTGTTGCATTACAGTTAAAGGCAGCTGAGAGAATGAACCAATCAGATGCATTGTTGATGCATGCAGACTAAGATACAGTATAGAGATTGTACAAATGTACTGCAACCAATAATATTATTTGTTTCTTTGTGACTCTGGGCTGCACTGTACCTAAGTTCAGGGCTTGAAATTGCGACTCAGTGGTTACTAGTACGACTAAAAATTGAGCCCTGGTGACTATAATATTTTATGATGGTTACCAACTGGTGAGTCACCTTAACTACTGATAAGGTCACCAGCTGATGCCTGAATGAAAATGTTAACTTCAAGCCCTGAGGGGGTGTATGTTACAAGTCAATACGAATAAGACAGTATTGTCTTGATTCTCAACCTACAACTGTAGGCTAAACAAATTTAGCCTAAAATCAAATTTGACTTATAACATGTACACACTCCAGTGGTTCAAATTAAGCCCATCCAGGAAGCAAGCTTTCCATTTCAAGTCATCAGTGAAATGAGCCATGAGAGAACACGAGCAAGTGACTAAACCACAAGGGGCACTTATGTGTGACTTCTCACAATATCCCCGAAATGGACAGCTTGCTAAAAGGCAAAATAAGCCTTAAAGCAAGCCTATTGTTTTTGAGTATGATAATGATAGTTTGAACCTAACAAATAAAAATTAATTTGAACAAAGAATAAAATGGAACCACAACATCTACCCCGTATAGTCTGAGCGGAAAGTTTCAAATTACCTTTGTAAATAGTTCTTTTTTGGTCTCCTTGTTCCTCTCTTTCCTTGCCTGTTGGACATAAAAGGCAGCCAAGGTATCCAGGCATACCATCTGGCCCTTTTCACTATCACGGTAATTACGATTGGCATCTGTTGTAAAAAAAAAAAACCAAAACAAAGAAAAAACACTTAATTTGCAGTACCTTTCACAAATAAGTTGCCATCTCAAGAGATGTGAGGCTTGCCTTGAGAGACAAAAGTCTCATCTTGAGAGAGGAGACTCTTGTCTTGTGAGAGGAAGGTTCAAGCATGACATTTCCAAATAGGGGATGTTCCTGAGGCTAACCTTGGGGCCTTGTTTTTCACCTTTAGTATCTTAAGCACGGTGACTGGTACTCTAACAAGACTTAGTGGAATATGACCTGTAATTTCAGACTTGCCTTAAAGAAAGTGATGATAATGACCTTGACAATGATTATGATCATGATTATAACAAGTAAAATGATAAGTGATACCAATAACATGTACAACAACAACAATAATTGTTGTCGTACACGTAATTGGTGTCATTAATATGTAATAGTTATGATGAAAACAATGAAAATGTTGATAATGTCCTACATTCACCACTTTAGAAAAAGAAGAGGACTGGAACACCGCAATTGTTTCTGGGAACATTACAGTGCAGTATGCATCATATAAAGAAAACTGCATGTACATGTAGCTGATACAGGCTTACTGTAGTTTGCGAAATGCGAATCTGTAGTTTGCGAAATGAAAATCTGCAGTTTGTGAAATTTGGATTTTTGGCGCAGTTGCAAAGGTACGAACAATAGAGGAAAACTATCCCCTCGGTCGCCATTCGGAAACTCATGTTACGGTTGTTATGAAGTTCTTTGAAGCCGCCAGCTGCTTTTGCTGAACTAGAGAAGAAGCTATACTTATGCCTGGATTGCTGTAGTGAATGGCTCCTTAGCCTGTATTTGTAGCTAGTTGCTTGTGATATTCTTTATGTCGGATGAACAGGCTGCAGTTATCCATCGGCGAATAGCTTCACGATCAAGAAGAAACAATGACTTTCCTCCATAGGGAATTCCTACCGTCAAATGACACTTAAACAACAAAAACTTCTGCTGGAAATACTGTTTTTCCTGCATTTGTTTATCTTTACAAAACGTTAAAACCACCATGTTCAAAAGTAAACAGCAAAACCACAATGATGTATTTTATCGGTTCGTTTGAATATCGTGTGACGTTTCTGGTTAAGATAACGCGTTTCAACTGCCACCGGAAGTGGACTTTTTGCATTCTTGGGCAGTGGTTCTTGGGCAAATTTTCAGGCAGATCATCTCTATAAGAGTAATGACACTTATCAATACAAATGTGGTGGCATCAAGGCATATAAAAAGGAAAGAGGTCTTGCTTCCGGTTGCTGTCCGTCGCTCAAAAATGCCTGAGCTTAAGTTTATACATGGCAACGAAAACGTCACACATTCCGCGCAATCTGAATTTTCTGGGCGAAACAGCTTTTTGGGGGGGAATTTTCTGTTTAGAATATCCAAGTAGATGCAGTGAGGAAGTAAATTGTCATTTCCTAAACTACAGATTGTCATTTCGTAAACTACAGATTCTCATTTTGCAAACTGCAGATTCTCATTTTGCAAACTACAAATTTTCATTTCGCAAACTACAGATTTACATTTCACAAACTACAGATTTTCATTTCGCAAACTACAGATTTTCATTTCGTTTCGTTGTGTTTAGCTCCATTTCGTTTCGCAAACTACAGTAAGCCGCTGATACAATGAAGCTATCTGACTTGCCTGTTCTTGCAGCTTCAAGAATTTTGACAAAATCATCAGATTTCCCTTGTTTGTAATACTGGAGCTGTAAGAGTAACAATGTTAATCACTATCATAATACAGCAGAGCCTTTTGGAGGTAGTGAACAGATGTCCATTTGCAGTCAAACACCTTCCTGTTGTCTAGAGCTGCCACCCGATTTAGCCTGCTTAAGAGCTATCAAAAGCCCTGAATTTTTCCACTGGATAAATAATAGCCACTTTGCAGCCAATATATATCCTAAATAATGGACAGCATACTGAATAGGGATTTGTCATCCAGATCTCTAACTACAGTACAGTGTCTTTACTTACTTTGTTTCAGCGTACCTGCAGAATTATTAAAATTCAATACTGAAGCAGTATTCCCATGGAGTTGGCATGTATAGAATATGCCTGACATATACTTTACATGTTCATCATGTACATGAACTTAGGGAATATCTGCATTGTAGTAGCAAGACTAATTTGATGCTGGATCTGTTTAGTAGAGGCAAACTCATTATTGCAGACTTTTAAGAGAAGCAAGCTGACAAAGTCAAAACAAGAGCTTCCTTGAGTTCAAGACGACAGCTACCTTTAAAAAGCTCAAATGACTGAGAAACACACTGTCAGAGAGTTTCATTCTTTGAATTCCTTACGAGCTAAAGCAACTATTCTCGTGATTTGGTGGATCTGATTTGATACTAAAGGAGCGAACTGACCGTAAACCGATTAGACTGATAGCAAGCATGATCACGGCCAGGCCATCAAAGGAACGATTGGAAACTTCATGAATTTCGCATCCTCTTTGTCAACAAGCAAATCCTATTAAAGTTACACTGGTAGGCTACAATTTTAAACTCAAATCTGAACACCACTGACAGTGAACATCGGACAAAAAATGTTCATATACCGCAAGCGTGATCCATATTTGAAGTTGGGCACTTTCTTGTCGTAGAATGTTTAGAACCTCATCTCCTTCGGGTAGCTGGTCAAACTGGAGCTCTATAACCTTAACAGAAAAAAGTACTCTCAGAATAAGAAGATTCCATGATTTTATTGAAAGAGTAAGTAAATTCTACTATACCTCGTCCTCTGTATCTCTCAGAGGTATCTCAATGGACGTCGCCATCTTGAAAGTTGGCTTGGCGCATTGGAATCGTCAAGTAATACTACACAAAATGTCTCTCACGGTCAGATACTAAGGAACTGGGGAAGAGGAACGGTCCTTGATGACATCAAAAGATCCGGCTCGAACGACCAATGTTCTTATTAGTTCGATCGTTGAGGACTAACTTAATTGATGCATTCATATTTTTGTAATTTGTATAAGAACATAAGAAAATAAATCATTCTAAGAACAAGGTATTACCGTCTTACCCTCCCACTAAGATCTAAAAGAGGCTCCGGGGTAGCATGGATAGTTCACTATGTTCCGTATACGGTGTCTACAACAGGAACAGCTATCTGTTAGAGTAGGTGTCTCTACTTGGATTGCAGCCCTTACAGCTACACTGTCTACAGGTCACTTTTGTGAAGGGGGGGGTGGGGTTCGAGGGGAGTTTGATTTGGCTTGAGCATAATTTATTTGTTTATCTTGTCTGTTTGTTTGTTTCTTTTTTTTCAATATTCTTGTAGTTGTATTTTCTCTTTATAGGAGTAATGTTTTTGTTTTTATTATCTGCTCTGTAAGGTCTTGAAGAGAGCGTTAAAGAGCAGTGTCACGGACTCACGGTCGCTGCCGCTCGGGACGGAGTCACGCATTGCTACCTGTCCCCATTGCGTTACTCCGGCCCGAGCGGCTGCGGAGACTAATAGGGACTTTAAGATCCAACGACGCGGACGGCAACAAGAACGTCATCACGCTTTTTTGTACATTTCTTTGCCGGCTTTGCACGACTACCACGTAAAAATGCCTAATTTCGCGTTTTATGGAGTACGTAAACAACCAACGACGAAATTTTGTTTCTCTTTCTGCACTTGGATATGGTCCCGAGGCATTCAACTCCAGGAGGGTTCGCCTACATTTCACAAAGTGAGTAGGTAGGAATAACTGCGATAAAAACTGAAAGAAAGCAAATTCCTTTTTTAAGCGACGTTCTCGTTGCCGTCGCGTCGTTGGATCTTAAAGTTCCAATTGTCACGGCAACTCGTCTCTTAGCGTCTTGACTGAGGGTGTTCTTCTGGTCCGAAAGCCTTGAGCAGAATGTGAACTTTGGAAATGCGCAGTCTCATGAGTGATACAACCATTTTTTTAAATGTTTATCTATGATGAAGTCAGTTTAAGTCAGAATAAGCAATTAAAAGAATAATAATAATTTCGGCTCTATGCAAAACGAAACGAATCAGGGTCATGAAAAAAGGTCCCCTGTTTTTAAAAGGGAGACGAAATGATAATAACCAGGGCCAGGCTTTAAATAGCAGCCCACGCAGACGTTCTTAGGGGTTCGTCACGCGTTCTAGTGAGGCAGGAACGCGTGACGATCCCTTAAGAACGTCTGCGTGGGAGGCCAGGGTTTGAAGGCCTCGGCGGCAGATCTCCACAGAAACTTCCCGTTAGTGTCCCCTTGCACTGCGTGACAAATTTTCTATAAATTGCTCAAGTAAACTAGATCTTTCACCTTTTAAACTTAGTTAACTTGTATGTTAATGTCGAGTCAAGAACGAATACAATAATGTCAGCGAATGATCGTCTAGAAACAGCCGTACGACTGTCCTCTCTCGGTTGACTTCAGGAATTGTTATATAACCTATATGAATGCAATTTTCAGAGTTTCGATTTCATTCATTCATTGATTCGTTTTGCCATTACCTGAGTATATGGGATACACCATGTGAATTAAGAGTACTGAATGAAAAATGGATTATTATGAAATGAAAGAAAAGAAAAGAAAAAGTATGTAGCTCAATAAAGAGTAAGCAGCCATGGGTTATGAGCCACTGTAAGATACAAGAGTTTGTAAATAATTGTTACTTATGTTCTTTACGCCGCTTTCCGCCCTGCTTATTCTTCTTTCTACAGTTTTGTTCTTTCGCCTATCTATTGTCACACTTCCAAAGCATTCAAAGCAGCTGCAATAGGTTGCTTTATTGTTATTCACGCTAGGTGATAGTTTCAAAACGCGCCTTAACTGTTTGCACCTGGTGACCACGGAAACGCCATAACGATGAAGAGGCAGGTGCGCTGAAGAGTGTCTCCAGAGTAGCTAGAACGCGAAAGGGGTAAATATCAGGCGTTGCAGTTTGGACAGCTTAGGTAAACAGGTTTTTGAGCGTTAGCAAACTAAAGCGAACTTCGAATGGACACAGCCTTAGTTATTAAATGTCTGCTAATCAGGTCAACAGCCTTGAAAGCAGGACAAAGCTGTGCAAAACATGCAAAAATAGTCAGATCTTGATAAAAGTGAATATTCCTGTTCTTTTTCAGTCTTAAGCCACACGAGCAAATATTTTGTTGGCAAAGTGCCGCCGCCGGAGAGTATAGTCCTTGGCCGCAATTGGCGCAATTATCATTTAAGAAAAAAATAAGAATTTCATTAAAAACATTTCAAATTTTTGAAAAAACCTACCACCTGCCGCTCGTATGAATATGAAACAAAAAGTTGATTAATGTTTTCCAGACAGAGTGAGTTATTGCCGTTCAGCTCCGTTCCATTCCGCTTTCGGCGAAAGATTTCATGTCAGTTTATAAAACAGAACATAAACTGATAGATTTTCAAACGTTTTTACCCTACATCGAGCATTGAGTGGGTTTTTCCAGAACATTCTTCAATGGTCTCTATGGCTCTTTGGCACATTGTTATCTTTGTCGTGATGTCAATAGTAGTAGTTACAGTGTCGAGTCTTGGTGAGTTGACTTACTTTAACGGTT